CCCCCCGCCCCTATTTTTAAGACAACCGATATAGATCATTGCTTGTTCTTTTTCTTTAAAGAACATGTAAGACATACATGTACGTGTTTCATTATGAAAATAATCTCTCTGAATGAGTAATATTATTCCTGAACGGCAGGAGAAAGATCGTATACTGTTTCGTCACGTTAACATGAAATGCAGTGGCTCTAGGGCGTACACAGCACGCGTAATAAAATATATCTGATACTGAAGTTCATACCTTCATGCCAATTGAAACTGTAACAGCTTGCTTTCCCAGTTGGCTTAACACGTCAATATTCAGTCATTACACCGTGAACAGGTGTATATTTAATTACTCGACATTATAAAACAAGAAGTTGTCCTCGCCTATTATTAGTACATTATGTTCAATGCTAGATGGTACACCGTCAAGTGGGCGTCTGCAGATCCTGTTCGATACTTTAGGATATCTAAGAGTAGGCGTACAGCGGTAGTAGCAGGTCTTTTGTAATGCGCAAATAACTGACGTTTAGAGGCCTTTTGTTGATATTATTACAGCCTTGTTCTTCATAATGAATCTTATTCATGTATGTAGGCACAATTTTCACTATGAAATTTCATTCATCGATGCTATATATTAAATCCACCTTGTATTTTAAGTACCTGCCCTGCAGATTCAATTAATTATTCTAACAAATGTCTTTCAAAACATATTTGATAAGTGATTAATAATAAGTTTATTGTTAATCATTTAATACAAAACACTTTTACTGGAATCTGTGCATTTTTTTAAATCAAACATTCCGATTGGTTTTCTTGTTACTCCATACATTTTTGCTATTCGTTTCAATGTAAAAAGGTATTTCGTTCAGATATCTTAAACCACAAAAGGTATTCCGTTCAGATATCTTAAACCACAAAAGGTATTCCGTTCAGATATCTTAAACCACAAAAGGTAATTGAAGGAAGCTTGTTTCATTATAAATAAACATTTTTGTATTTAGATATTACAAACGCTGATTAAATAAGGGTTAACGAGTAACAAAACCTTAAAAGACTGACTCTTTCGGATTTCTTTTCACTGAAAGATCATATATGTTTCAGTTCAATGTTTGCTTTTGTAAATTATATGTACCGCTGATATTCACAACTACCCTTATTTTATTCTAGTTGTCAAGTCATTCCAGAAAAGAAATAGGGAAACATTGGTTTAAATCGAGTATGGATTTTGTTTTCTTATATACAAGTTCTTCGTAACTCAATATATCCACGTATGTTAGTTAGAAACGTCATTTACCACGTTAATAGTGGAATAGTACGAATAAAAGAACATGTGACACAAATAAGAAATACCAAAAAATGAGTTGCTAAGTTAAACGCAAAAAAGGTGCCATTACATTTTTGCATCGGGCTGTTAAAATGATACATTGTTCATAGCGAGCAATGGGTTAATGTGCTATGAAACTGAAGACGATATTTCATGATAATAAATTTCTTTTTACTCAATATTTTGTATACATATAAGGTGGAAATACCCAAATCGGATCACTTTTTGCAAAAAAAAAAAAAAAAAAAGAGATAGCCATGCACCATTTTTTGTCTACAGATGATTAGTTTTTAGGTTCAAATAGCACAAGAAAACGTAATTCAAACTCAAATGTCAGTGTTTTGATTACGATTTAAAAAAAATGGCGCGTGCGACGACTATGCATTAAAAAAAATTGGACTATAAGATTACATTCACACTATAGACTACTTTTTGTCATATAAACTCTAAAGGTCATCATAAAATGTTAATATGCTGACATTTTTTTTTATTCAGTTGAAGCGTAAGATACTGCAAAATTCAAGCCTTGATCCTCTTTAAATACAACCATAAATGAATATAATTACTCCTCAGATTTTTCAATGATTTAATAAAATGATGGTTTGGTGATCCGATTTGGATACTGTCACCTTAGTGCTGTATTTTGACTTTATAATTTATTGCAGAATAATAAGTAGATTGAATGTCGAGATGCCGTTAAACGCTTTGAAGGGAGACAACTCGTGAATTTTATCTTTCGCTTTAGACTGTGGATGAGAACATGTGAAATCACCCAATGAGATTACAAAAGTAAAACGGCGCCGAATGGGGAAATTAAAGTTAATAAAATAATCTCAGTAACGATGTTTGGTGAAATCGTAAACTACTGCCAGTATAATACTATACCTGTAGGCCGACATCAGCAGAGCATTACAGACGGGGATCTGGAACAGGTAATCGACTACCTCCACCTGTGTGGTCAAGTGTTCCGGGGAGATGTGGACAAGCCGGACACAGGAAAGGAGATCAGGGGCGTGGCGTAGTCGATCCTGTCTGTTGAAGTCTATCCAGGATGTGACAGCCAAAAATACGTCGAGTTCGTCACGAATGCCAAGGTTGTCTTTGCAAATAAAATGTCGGACCTGCTCGAAGTGTCCGCGTAGGTATCCAACAGATGTGTACAATCGTCCAAAGTGGTCACACACAGCCGTCTCCAGAATGGACAAAACGTCCAACAGGTCGTGCTTGTCCGCAATCCACCACATATTGAACAGATTGTCGGGGGTAAAATTGAACAAAAAACTTTTACAAATATCCAATGCAGAGTTTATGCCCAGTTGGCTAGAGCAGCCGATCACGTCGTCGACATTGTCCAGTGTCAGATTCAACTTGGACGTGTAAATGTACTGTAGCACTTCCTCCACCGCCTCCCTCGAGGAGGCGGACAGGTTCACCTCAGAGATCGAGGTTTGGAGTCGCTCGCAGTACTTGCTGTTGAACTTGTCGCTGTAGGCCGCCAGAGCTAACTTATGGGCTTTGTATTCTGTGTCTCCTACCCGAATTACAATGTCACACATTTCCTGGTTCCTCCACAGATTGTACAAGAACTTGGACAACTCTACGTGTGTTGACGGTGTTGCGCGGTTCCCAGTGTCTTGAGGCTTTGGTAAAACAATGCCATTGGCACTGGTTGTTCTCCGACTGTTTCCAGCAGTCGTATCATTTGTCCGCCGGTTGTCTCCGGGAGGGTCGGATTGACGCCGTTTGTCTATGATAGAAATTCTTGAGTCCTGATAAAGTAAGGAATGCGGGGTTACCTGCACCGCATGTCCGCTATCAGAGGGGAATCCCACGGTGGTCCCTGTGTCCCGTACAGGGATTTCCTGGAGGTGCTGCAGGCTCTCACGCCGTGCCCTGACCTTTGACGGCGTTCTTGATATACTGTCGTTCATGTTGTTTGTGGATAGTTTGATAGTTTCACCGGTGTCTTGTATCTAGCCAGTAACGAACATGTTTGCCATCGTCACCTTGACATCATTGCCGTAAACGTAATAATCTTAAATTGTGACGTCATCAACAAATAAAAACTAGAAATCACGTGACAAGATTGTTTGCGCTCAAGACTTACCCCTAGTCATTCACATGAGCTCGACCACAGCAATATTTTACCCTTTCGCTGCCACAGTGAAAACCCTGATTTTCTGTCAGGCCAATATTTCAACGTGGTTTTGAAATGTCCTTTTATGACGTCGTTGTACTATGACGTCAACAATTTTTGCGTATACCCAATTACGTTTACTCCGGAAACGTCATGGAAGATACACTGAATTACTTCATATTCAAACGATCTTATAAAACTGTTACGATCCCCTAGAACCACATGTTATACCTCTATGGAAAGCTTAAATAATTATCTTTTACTTTATAATTACATGTAACTCGGCAGTTAGTGCGCATGTTGCTATACCGGCCGATATTAAGGTATATTGTAGAAACTTGCAGATGTGGAATAGTATACCTTTAGTGTATGACAACGAATTAGAATGTGTGTACGATCTGTTGTACACAGTCATATATGATGCTCTCTATTTCCTGCAATTTCGAAATCCAAGGGTTACACGATCAGTACAAAATCGATGGCGGAAGTCTTTGATTTCGAAGACATATTTTCAAAAGAGTTGTGATTTTGTTCAGTTGAACGTGCAGGTTTAGGGCAAAACAACTCGAAATGTAAACGGGATATAGGGCAAAATGAAATCTACACAGATTCTGGCTCGAAGACGCTTTTATGCCAACGGTTCCCGATTGGCTTTTATGCATGACCCGTCAAAATTATTTCGTTTACTTTTGACAATGATAATCGACGTTATCCGGGGATAAGATGATTAGTTTAATATGATAGTTTACACTGTAATTTATTCAAAACGCTGTTAGTCTTAAATGTTCAGTGTCTCTATAAAAATACTGCTTTGATTCTCAATAATTTTAAACTATTCTGTATCTCCGTGAAGCTTAAATGTTTTGGGTAAACCGGAACTGTTCACGGCCCGTATTCATGGAACCGTTCTCATGCTCAAGCATGGATTTTGTGCTCAAGCCTAATTTCTTGTTCCTTTTATAAATTATGATGAAATCTTAATTTGTCAATGATTTGGAAAAAGAATTAAAGATGTTTACATTTGACTTTTTGATCGTTTGACATGATTTTTAAGTGAGTTACAAAATGTTGGTTGTAGCACAAAATCCATGCTTGAGCATGAGAACGGTGTCATTGAATATGCAAAATATAATTCCGAATTGGTTGGGCCTTCATTTTCCATTCTTTTGGTGTCTTTGAAAAATCAAAAGCACAGACTTGTAACCATAAGAATATGATATCTCACTTTTAGAAATTGAAACAGCAATTTCGAAACTTAAAAGGGAGAAAAGTCACGGATCGGACCAGATTCTGAATGAATTTTTTATTGAAGCAAAACATGTATTTCTTCCTCTGCTTCATAAGATGTTTAATGCTGTGTTTAGAGCGGGCTATTTCCCTAAAGTACTGTCAGAGGCTTTAATTGTGCCAATTTTTAAAAAGGGGTGACACGACTGACCCCGGTAACTATATCGAAGTATTAGCCTCAAAGTAACATGCTGAAATTATTCACTAGTATCCTTAATACGAGGTTGAGTAAATGGGCGGACTAGAACTACATAGTATCGGATGCCCAATTTTGTTTTCGTTCAGGATTGGGAACAGTCGACGCAATATTTGCGTTACACTCTATTATTAACAAGTTTACCAGTAATAAATAAAACTGTATTGTTGCTTTGTTGACTATCAAAAAGCGTTCGATAGTATTGACAGGTGCAAATTATGGTATAAAATAGCTAAGCTTGGCGTCCGTGGTAACATTATGTCGGTAATAAAATCATTGTATAGCCATATTAAATCTAGAACCCTTGTTGGCGGAAAAATATCTGATTTTTTAAAAACAAGACCGGGGTCTTACAAGGGGAGATAATCTCCCCGGTTCTGTTTAGCATGTTTGTTAACGAATTTTTACGCGCCGGTGTACAGCCGCTTGACTTACCAGACTTGTCCCTATTTTTATTAATATACGCAGATGACATGGTTTTTGTTTTCCGAAAGTATACATGGTATACAGTCAATGCTTGACAAACTTATAAAATATACTGAAAAGTGTTGGTTAATGTCCCTAAAACTAAAGTTATGGTTGTCCGTAAGTCAGGTAGAATATCACAGGATGAAAAATGCTATCTTGGCTTGTTGTTAAACTATGACGGTAAAGGATGTTACGAGTATATGTATAACGAATGTGAGGCTAATCCAAATTGTAGAAACTGGGTTGCGAAAGTCAAATACCAGCTCTGGACATTTTGGGTTTCCCAACATATTATTAATGTAAACAATTTTATATATATATATTGTAAAACAGCGTTTGTTAGACAATTTCAAGCAAGAGTGTGAGATTTTTTTGTTTCGTCACCAAAATGTGTTTTATACAGGCATGTTGTAGATCACTTCCCATTGCAAACTTATCTTTCAAAACCAATTCCTGCTAATTATAAAAAGGCTATTGTTAAATTACGTTTATCTTCGCATTGTCTTCTTATCAATCAGGCAGACACAGACATGCTCCATGTCAGCTTCGAACTTGCCCTGTGTGTCTTAATGACATCAAGGACGAATATCATTTCATGTTATAATGCCCCTTGTATAATGATTGGAGAACCAAATATATTAAGCCCTATTATCGAATAAATCCATTCCTCTTTAAATTAGTTATAATTCTATCATCTGTAAATACGAAAGAATTATTGTGTAATTTAGGAAAGTTTGTCCATCAAGCAAACATATTATGAGCAAATTATTTAGTAGATAATTAAATGTTGTATTAGTGGAATGGCCCTGGAAATATTTGTTGTAACCAAGTTTAATGCAAAGGTTGTATCTATAAACTGTATCAGTTTAGATCAATAAAGAATTACGAATTACACAATAAGTTTAATGTAATTAACACATACACAATGAAGTTTGACGTAATTAACACATACACAATGAAGTTTGACCTAATTAACACATACACAATGAAGTTGAATGTAAGGATGACTGAGAGTTGATCAGGAAGAGGTGACAACAGCTTTGGTGATTTTTATATCATCAACAGGTTTATCATTTTGGTCTGTTTCACAAAGTCCAATTCTTTGCACTACTTGCATGCCAGTTGACACCCGTCCAAATATGGTATGTTTGCCATCAAGCCACTGCGTGGGAGCTAGTGTTATGAAAAACTGACTTCCGTTTGTGTTGGGTCCACTGTTAGCCATAGACAGAATCCCAGCACCTGTAAATAAACAACGCTAGTACATGTACTGGGAATACAGAAATAACATCCTAAAGCAGTAGTTTGTTCCTACAATTTTTTGCAAATTTTCCAAAACAAGAAAAGTTGTGAAAATCAACAATAACATGATTCTGTTTAACATTGTAGTTTTTCAATTGATGTAAAAGATGTACTTCTATTACAAAATTGACAATAATATAGTGTTAACTTAGTTTAAACTAAGTGATATTTTCTTAACATTCATCATTTGACAATGCTTATCAAAATTGATTTATAAACTATCAAATATTAATTTTGACAAAGTCAACAATTTCTCTATGGTACAGTATCACAGAAGAATACATACCTGTATGTTTAAGATCATCTGCAATCTCATCATCAAATTCCTTTCCATATATAGATGCTCCTCCTCTTCCTAAAACATATTATGAAACATATCACTGAAAATGTAAGCATTTAGCTAATACTCTCTTACTGCAATTTCATCAATGATTGAAATATGTAATTGACCAATGTGAAGCTAAGGCAGTCATGATCTTTGACCCCATCTATAACATACCTGTCCCAATTTGGTCCCCACCCTTACCTTGGCTGTGTCATTTGGTTCCCACCTGCCATTATCTGTCCCTGAAGGCCCATAATACTTTAACATACCTGTCCCAATTTGGTCCCAACTCTTACCTTGCCTGTGTCAGTTGGTTCCCACCTGCCAATTACTGTCCCTGAAGGCCAAGCTATAACATATATACCTGTCCCATTTGGTCACTGCCCTTATCTTACCTGTCCCAGTCGGTCCCCGCTCTTATCTTACCTGTCCCATTGGGTCCGAAGCCTTATCCAACTTGTCAGGCTGGGTCCCCACTCTTACCTGACCTGTCCTAGTGGGTCCCCACTCTTACCTGACCTGTCCTAGTAGGTCCCCACTCTTACCTTCCCTGTCCCAGTGAGGTCCCCACTCTTATCTTTCCTGCCCAAGTGGGATCCCGACCCTTATCTTACCTGTCTAAGTGGGTCCCCGCACTTATCTTACCTGTCCCATTGGGTCCCAAGCCTTATCTAACCTGTCAGGCTGGGTCCCCACTCTTACCTGACCTGTCCTAGTGGGTCCCCACGCTTACCTTCCCTGTCCCAATGAGGTCCCCACTCTTATCTTTCCTGCCCAAGTGGGATCCCGACCCTTATCTTACCTGTGCAAGTGGGTCCCCGCACTTATCTTACCTGTCCCATTGGGTCCCAAGCCTTATCTAACTTGTCAGGCTGGGTCCCCACTCTTACCTGACATGTCCTAGTGGGTCCCCACTCTTACCTTCCCTGTCCCAGTGGGTCCCCACTCTTACCTGACATGTCCTAGTGGGTCCCCACTCTTATCTTCCCTGTCCCAGTGGGTCCCCACTCTTACCTGCCCTGTCTCAGTGGGTCCCCACTCTTACCTTACCTGTCCCAGTGAGGTCCCCACTCTCATCTTTCCTGTCCAAGTGGGATCACCACCTTTATCTTACCTGTCCAGTAGGATCTCCACCCCTATCTTACCTGTCCCACTGGGATCCCCACCCTTATCTTACCTGTCCCATTGGGATCCCCACCTTTATCTTACCTTTCCAGTAGGATCCCCACCCTTATCTTACCTGTCCCAGTGGGATACCCACCCCTTGTTTTACCTGTCCAAGTGGGGTCCCCACGTGCACTCTTATCTTACCTGTCCCAGTGGGATCCCCACCCTTATCTTACCTGTCCCAGTGGGGTCTCCACCCTTATCTTACCTGTCCTAGTGGGGTCCCCACCCTTATCTTACCTGTCCCAGAGGGATCCCCACCCTTATCTTGCCTGTCTCAATGGGACTCACCCTTATCTTACCTGTCCCAGTGGGATCCCCACCCTTTCCTTACCTGTCCCAGTGGGGTCTCCACCCTTATCTTACCTGTCCTAGTGGGGGCCCCACCCTTATCTTACCTGTCCCAGCGGGATCCCCACCCTTATCTTACCAGTCCCAATGGGATCCCCACCCTCATCTTACCTGTCCCAGTGGGATCTCCACCCTTATCTTACCTGTCCCCCCACTCTTACCTTCCCTGTCCCAGTGGGGTCTCACCCCTTATCTTACCTGTCCCAGTGGGACTCACCCTTGTCTTACCTGTCCCAGTGGGATAACCACACCTTGTTTTACCTGTCCTCGTGGGGTCCCCACGTGCACTCTTATCTTACCTGTCCCAGTGGGAGCCCCACCCTTATCTTACCTGTCCCGGTGGGATCCCCACCCTTATCTTATCTGTCCCAGTGGGATCCCCACCCCTATCTTACCTGTCCCAGTGGGATCTCCACCCTTATCTTACCTGTCCTAGAGGGATCCCCACCCTTATCTTACCTTGCCCAGTGGGATCCCCACCCTTACCTTCCCTGCCCCAGTGGGTCCCCCCTCTTACCTTCCCTGTCCCAGTGGGGTCTCACCCCTTATCTTACCTGTCCCAGTGGGGGCTCCACCCTTATCTTACCTGTCCTAGAGGGATCCCCACCCTTATCTTGCGTGTCTCAATGGGACTCACCCTTATCTTCCCTGTCCCAGTGGGTCCCCCCTCTTACCTTCCCTGTCCCAGTGAGGTCCCCACTCTTATCTTTCCTGCCCAAGTGGGATCCCGACCCTTATCTTACTTGTCCCAGTGGGGCTCACCCTTATCTTACCTGTCCCAGCGGGATCCCCACCCTTATCTTACCAGTCCCAATGGGATCCCCACCCTCATCTTACCTGTCCCAGTGGGATCTCCACCCTTATCTTACCTGTCCAAGTGCGATCCCCGCCCTTACCTTACCTGTCCCAGTGAGGTCCCCACTCTCATCTTTCCTGTCCAAGTGGGATCACCACCTTTATCTTACCTGTCCAGTAGGATCCCCACCCCTATCTTACCTGTCCCAGTGGGATCTCCACCCTTATCTTACCTGTCCTAGAGGGATCCCCACCCTTATCTTGCGTGTCTCAATGGGACTCACCCTTATCTTTCCTGTCCCAGTGGGATCCCCACCCTTGCCTTACCTGTCCCAGTGGGATCCCGACCCTTATCTTACCTGTGCAAGTGGGTCCCCGCACTTATCTTACCTGTCCCATTGGGATCCCCACCTTTATCTTACCTGTCCCAGGGGGATCCCCACCCTTACCTTACCTGGCCCAGTGGGACTCACCCTTATCTTACCTGTTCCAGTGGGGTCTCCACCCTTATCTTACTGTCCCAGTGAGGTCCCCACTCTCATCTTTCCTGTCCAAGTGGGATCACCACCTTTATCTTACCTGTCCAGTAGGATCCCCACCCTTATCTTTCCTGTCCCAGTGGGATCCCCACCTTTATCTTACCTTTCCAGTAGGATCCCCTCCCTTATCTTACCTGTCCCAGTGCGGTCTCCACCCTTATCTTACCTGCCCAGTAGGATCCCCACCCTTATCTTTCCTGTCCCAGTGGGATCCCCTCCCTTATCTTGCCTGTCTCAATGGGCCTCACCCTTATCTTACCTGTCCCAGGATCCCGACCCTTATCTTACCTGTGCAAGTGGGTCCCCGCACTTATCTTACCTGTCCCATTGGGATCCCCACCTTTATCTTACCTGTCCCAGGGGGATCCCCACCCTTACCTTACCTGGCCCAGTGGGGGCTCCACCCTTATCTTACCTGTCCTAGAGGGATCCCCACCCTTATCTTACCTTGCCCAGTGGGATCCCCACCCTTATCTGACCTGTCCCAGTGGGGTCTCCACCCTTATCTTACCTGTCCCAGAGGGATCCCCACCCTTATCTTGCCTGTCTCAATGGGATCCCCACCCTTATCTTACCAGTCCCAATGGGATCCCCACCCTTATCTTACCTGTCCCAGTGGGATCCCCGCCTTGCAGCATGAAGTCCTGAATTATTCTGTGGAATTTGGTCCCGTTATAATATCCTCTCCTGGCTAGCTCAGCAAAATTTCTACACGTGCTTGGAGCATGTTTCCAGTACAGCTCAAGGACAATGGTACCCATACTGGAGGTATAGAAATAATACAAATGATGGTACTTGTAAATCTACACTGTGTTGAGAGTTTGGAAGACGCATGTGTACATTCAATCAACAAGATCAATTAAGCTTAAGAATTACATATCATGTACAAACATAGATATGCAGTAACAGTAAAACCTTTCGTCCACCATTCATCCAGAGAAATGCTGATGTTATAAAGGGGTTGGGCGATAAACACATAAAGGAGTTCGAAAAGGAGAAAAAAGTACCTAGAAATCTGTTCGTGAGATATATATACATTTGTATATGTGAGGTGGTAATGAAACAAGGGTCGATTATATCAATGTTTACTGTATTCTATTTGTTTGGATTTGAACTCATATAAGTTGTATTCTTTACCAAATGAATTAAACGAAGTGTGCATTAATGATCAGATCAAATGGATAGATACGTTAAAAAAGCATGGAATATCTACATGTTCTCACACCCTTTATACATGTATTCTTTGTTTCAATGTAATCATGTGATCTCTTGTATATATACTAAACATGTAGAATACACTTTTGTAATTGCACTACACACCAAAATTATCGTCTGCATATTGTCTGCACAATTGCCCATGGGCGATTTTAACAATTGATCGCTCTATTGTGAGATGAAACGTGCACATATATTATTATACAGTTTATGCCATTTGGTAAGATCAGTAAATTATAGAATGAAAAAGTTCAGAAGTAAATGTGAGTATATCCAATGCCGAACATTTTGTTGGGATTAAAAAATTAGGCAGTTACATTTGAAAAAAAATATAGACAATTGCTCACAACATTGCATTTCCATTGTTTGTACCCCCAACGGTATCACAACATATTATATAATCATGTGTGCTATAAGTAGAAACTGATCGTGTATAAGAGTGTCATTCAATGACTTCAACAGGATTGAATAAGTTATCAATGTGAAGTAAAGAAAGTGATTTGGCAAATATCAATTAAAGCTCATAACCTGTCACCCAATGCTGCTCTAGTTTATCCACCCTAGGCATACCACACGTACGCACACGGTGTCCCGTCATTTCACTCTCCATCCTGTTAGCCTCAGGTCATTGTGCGCTTGCCGCTTCGCTCAAAAAATCTTTTAATTGCAAAACTTTTTAGGCCAATTTAGTTGCGTGTGGATAACAGATTCTCATTTGAGGTTTTTCTAAGTCTTTCTTGCTACTTATTTTTGCATTGAACTTGTTAGGTTTGTGCATGTTTGACCAGATCTGCACACATCCTCAATACTCCAGGGGTTATGCTCTTTGCAGACTGCACCCCTGGAATATGTCATAGCAAATTTGAAGGTATGCGGCTAGCTATTTCATTGGTTTCAGGTAAAAAAAACCTGACAAATCCTAAGGACAATATCTGTCATTTAAAGATTACAGAGGAGCGACACAGGGCTTAACTGTTACGGGACCGACATCCTCAAGATGGCGCACCCTGAGCCTTCGATTTTGCCATGACATATTCCAGGGTTGCAGAGAGCGAAAGTGAGTGAAACCCCTGGATAATTGAGGATGAACTGCACATAGCAGTCAGACAACACAATTTTTCATGAAACATGCATTCAAACAGGAAGGTTTTTTTATCATCATAAAACATTTAAACTAATGCTTATAACATAAAAAATATTTAGGAGAAACAAGCTTGGGCAAACTGGATTTGGGGCAAAATAAGCTCAAATACCGGTACCGTATACTTAGCTTTTAACAGAAACAAATATTACAATTTTTATATAATGTTGCTATGTTGGCGGGGCAGAGGAGGCCGGGTATTAACATCAGTACTAGGACAAAATGACCTTAAGGCATAGTGCGAAGATGATTTAACCCAGGCTAAAAAAAGGTACATTGAGGCATGCCTTTTTCATGCCTTTTTCATGCCTAAAATGTACCTTTGGCTCGAGGTACATTTTAGGCATGCCTAAAATGTACCTCTACTTCTGGGGTATTTTTAAAGTATACCTCAAATGTGCCCCGTTTGGACTCTAATTTTATCAATGTGCCTCAAATGTGCCCCATTTGGACTCTAATTTTAAAAATGTGCCTCAAATGTGCCCCATTTTGACTTAGGTCTCTTCCACATGCCTCAAATGTGCCCCATTTGGACTCTAATTTTATCAATGTGCCTCAAATGTGCCCCATTTAGACTTTGATTTTTTTAATGTTCTCCATTAGGACTTAAAGATTTCTTCCACATGCCTTAAATGTGCCCCATTTGAACTCTATTTTTATCAATGTGCCTCAAATGTGCCCCATTTGGACTTGAACTTGTTCTCAATACTGCAAAATTGCCCACTTCAAATATGTTCTTTTCAATTATTTTTTTCAGATTTGACATACTTTTAATGATATTTTTTATATAAAATTAACCATCAAAATGTCTTTTTTGAATGCCATTTGCAAAATAAAAATTATATAACAAGCTAAACGAATGAATAAATAAACTTGAACTCTGTGAATTTACCTGGTCTAATTCAGAGACATGTAAAGCCACGTATCTGTCTTATATAAAACAGAAAATTCATAAAACACATTTCTGTTTCAGTCATTGTTGCATTTAACTTTCAGTCCCAACAGCTAGAAAGACATAATTGAAAGATTTCAACGACATATTAGTGACATATTTATTAAAATGTAAAACGAAAACAATTAAACTACACAATGGAAGTTTAAA